TGCTGCTGCTGCTGCTGCTGCTGCTGGGCTGCTGCTGGGGCGGGCGCGGCTTGGGAGCGGCGGGAGCGGGCCGCGCCTTCTGGTGGGTGGAGCGGGCGAGGAGCTGCTGCTGCGGAGGCAGCACGTGCTGCTGCTGCTGCTGCGGAGGCAGCCCGTGCTGCTGCTGCTGCTGCTGCTGCTGCTGCTGGTCGGGAGTGTAGGGGGCTGCCGCGGTTGGGTACGGCCACCCTGCTGCTGCAGCACCTGCTGCGGAGCCGCTGCAGTTTTGGCTGCAGGAGAAACACTGTCTGCTGCTGCTGCTGCTGCTGCAGGGTCTGCTGCTGCTGCGCCGCCCAGCCCGTCTCGATGCTGCTGCCTCGTAGGTGCGGGGAGTTCGGGGGGCCCTATAAAGCCCAAAGGCAGCAAAATAAGTTCTATTGCTGCTGCTGCTACTGCTGCTGCTGCTGAGGCCACAGAGGACGCGGTAAAACGATATTCGGAGGCGTGCAACTATTGCTGCGGGGCCGGCACTCCTGTTGCTGCTGCTGCTGCTGCTGCTGCTGCTGTTGCTGCTGCTCCACAAGCCACAATGTACCTTAAAAATGTAATGCAGGTTTTAAAAACATAATAGATTCAGCCAAGAATATAGTCAAGTCCCAACTGCTCCTCTAAGAGGAAGCAGAGCCACCAGTGTGACAACGCCTAGGGGCCCCTGCTGAGGCTACCAGTGCTGCTGCTGCTGCTGCTGCTGCGGCTGCAGCTGCTGCTGCAGCTAGATTATACAAGCTCCAGCAAAAACGTTTGCTCTAAGCCCAGATGTAACAGCTATTTCCTTTTCTTTTCTGTATCTCCGTCAAGTACCAGCAGCACTAGCAGCAGCAGCAGCAGCTGAGGCCCCCCAAGACCCTAGGGGCCCCTGGGCCGCTGAAGTAGTGTCTTGCTGCTGCTACTGCTGCTGCTGCTGCTGTTCAGGAGCAGCTAGCTTCCTTCGCAATAAATTCTAGCGAAGTTTTCAAGATAAAGAGCCCACAGAACGGCGCCTACCTTTCCGGGGCCGAGTGTTTAGGGTTTAGGGTTTAGGGTTTAGGGTTTCGGGTTTAGGGTTTGGGGTTTAGGGTCTGCAGTTCAGGATTCAGGAGGCTCCAGAAGGGCCTCCAGGGGCCCCCGGTGCCCTCATCAATGGAAGTCCCCCAATGCGGTCCGCAGCTGCAGCAGCAGCTGCGGCAGCAGCAGCAGCAGCACGCGCCCGCTGCCGCGCTGCTGCAGCCGCTGCAGCAGCAGTCACCGGTTCAGTAGCCGCCTGTGCTGTTGCTCAAGCGCCACACACAGCAGCAGCAGCAGCTGCTGCTGCTGCAGCAACAGCAAGCCAGCAGCAAAGAAGACGAATATGCCTTCTTGTGGGGCCGCTTTGCGGTGCCGCAGCAGCAGCTGCCCTGCAGCGGCGCTGCAGCTCAACTGCAGCAGCTGCCTTGGCTGAGGCAGCAGCAACAGCTGCAGCAGCAACACGAGCTGCAGCAGCATCGCCAGCAGCAGGAACACGAGCTGCAGCAGCAGCACCAGGTGCAGCAGCAACATCAGCAGCAGCACGCGCTTCAACCCGTGGCCCGGTGATTCCTGAATGCCACCTTTCTGCTGCTGCTGCTGCTGCTCGCTTCGCGCTGCAGCGGCAGCTGCACGATGCTGCCTTTTGGCGGGAGCTAGGAGCAGCAGCAGAGTGTTTGCTGCAGGCCGTTGCTGCTGGCCAGCACACCGAGCTGCCCCTCAGCAGCAGCAGCAGCAGCAGCAGCAGCAGCAGCAGCAGCAGCAGTAGGTCCCGGGTCCGGGCGCTGCCTGTGTGCCGCAGCAGCGACGTGGCGGAGATCATGTTGCTGCTCACGCAGCGGCAGCAGCAGGCGTCCTCAGCAGCAGCAGCAGCAGCAGCAGCACCAGCAGCAGCAGCAGCAGCAGCAGCAGCGTGGCAGGTGGATGTGGCAAACATTGGTTTGTGTCTGTCTCTGCTGGTCAACAGCTTCAAGCAAATGCGGGTTTATCCTTTGGGGTTATTTGCTGCAGCAGAAAGAGCAGCACATATTTATTTGAAGTCTTTTTCTCTTGGGGAGTTGTCTCTGCTTTGCTGCTCCTTTGCTGCTGCTGCTGCTGCTGCTGCTGCCGGCGGCGGGGACGCTGCTGCTGCTGCTGGCGGCGCTGCTGTGCCGTCCGTCAGTTTCATGCTCGCAGCAGCAGATTACTGTGCAGACGCAGCAGCAGCAGCAGCAGCAGCAGCAGCAGACACTGCCGCTGCTGCTGCGAGCAGCAGCCGGTTCTTCGCGCTGCCGCCGAAGCTGCAGGCCGCCGTCAGCTGCAGCAGACCAGCAGCAGCAGCAGCAGCAGCAGCAGCAAAGTCTGCTGCTGCTTACTACCACTTCGTGTCTTGGTGCCATTTGCTGGGGGCCTTTGCCCGCTGCAGCATTTCCCACCAGGGCCTCTTCGAGGCGGGGGCCCCCCACTTGTGCGCAGTGCTGCAGCAGCACCAGAGGCACCTGCTGCTGCTGCAGCAGCAGCAGCAGCTGCTGCTGCTGCAGCAGGCCCGCAGCAGCAGCAGCAGCAAACAAATCGTAACGCCGGGGGCCCTTCTTGCAAAAGCCATCAGCGCTTATGCCACGTGAGGTCCACTTAATCCGTGCTGCAGCTGTCTGTACACCCGAAGTTGTGGAGAGGCAAAAGTTCTAGCTGCTTGCTGCTGCTGCTGCTGCTGCTGCTGCTGCTGCTGCTGCTGCTGCTGCAGATTTGGCTTCTCACACCGCCGGCTGCTGCGCTGCGCCGCCGACAGCGTCGCGCTCATCTCTTTCACCGATGATCAGCTGAAGGTTCGATGGGAATATATTGCTGCTGCTGCTGCTGCTGCTGCTGCTGCTGCTGCTGCTGCTGCAGTTCTTACTCGCCCTACGCTGCCGATGGGGCCTCCTTTTTGGTTTTGCTGCTGCGAAGCCAATGCTGTTGCTGCAGTGCAATCGATAATGCTGCTGCTGCTGCTGCTGCTGCGCGTCATCTGTTGTTGCTGTTGCTGCTGCTGCCGTTCACTTCACGCTGCTGCCTCCGTTGGTCCTAGCTGTTGTTGCTGCCTGAGATTGCTCATGCTGCCATGGGCTACTGCTGCTGCTGCTGCTGCTGCTGCTGCTGCTGCTGCTGCTGCTGCTCTTCAGACTCTAAGAGACTCCATGGTGCGGCTGCAGCACCATGACCCGCTGGTGGCAGCTTTAGCGCGTACTCGCCTTGGCAGCAAATGTCGCTAGGGCAGCAGCAGCAGCAGCAGCAGCTGCAGCTGCAGCTGCAGCAGCAGCAGCAGCAGCAGCAGCAGCAACGCCCAAGAGGGCAGCGGTGCAGGCGGTTTAATTCTTGTTCTGTAGCTGCTGCTTCGCAGCAGCTCCTCTTGCTGCTGCTGCATCTGCTGTCAGCTGTACACACACCGTGGCTGCTGTGGCTCTTCGTGACTGCAGCAGCAGCAAAGCTGAAGCTGCTGCCGCTCTTGCTGCTGCTGCTGGCACACAGCAACAGCAGCAGCCGCAGCAGCAGCGGCAGCGTAGCTAGCAGCAGTAGCAGAATGCGGTGCAGTGGGCAAGCTGGCCTTTTTGCCGTAGACAAGCAGGTCGCCTGCAGCAGCAAGTTGCTGCTGCTGCAAGTTGCTGCTGCTGCTGCAGCAAGTTGCTGCTGCTGCAGCAAGTTGCTGCTGCTGCAGCAAGTTGCTGCTGCTGCAGCTTTTGCTGCGCTTCTCGTGAGCAGCACTGAAGTCAAACCCCTCTCCTGGCTGGCAGCCTTCTGCTGCAGCTGGAGGCCCCAATAGAACTTAACTTAACTATTTAAAACCTTTGGGGGCCCCCAGCTTCTGGGGCCCCTTTAATCTGTTAATTCCTCTTGGCTTCTTCTTAGGGGCCCCCCTTTCTGTTGGGGGCCCCCCTGCTCATGGGGCCCCCTTCTCTTGGGGGCCCCCCTTCTCTTGGGGGCCCCCCTGCTCATGGGGCCCCCTTCTCTTGGGGGCCCCCCTTCTCTTGGGGGCCCCCCTGCTCTTGGGGCCCCCACTACTCTTGGGGGCCCCCTGCCCTTGGGGGCCCCCGTAGCCTGTTGGGTCCTGAGGGGCCCCTTAGGGTTTTCTTGCTGCTGGGGGCCCCCCTACTCGGTTTTGTAGGGTCTAGGGGGCCCCCTGAACCCCTGGGGGCCCCCGAGCCCGTCAAATTCTTTTTATTTCTGAAGTCTTTAATTAGTTTTGTTTTCTCACTAAAGCAGCAAACAAGACTGAGACAGCAGCGCCCGACAGCTGCTGCATGCATGCGCTAAGTTGCTGCTGCAGCGGCGGCAGAGAGCAGCAGGCATGTTGCAGCAGCAGCAGCAGCAGCAGCAGCAGCAGCAGCAGCAGCAGATTTTGCCAGCGTTTCTGTAGGCGTTTGCAGCGTGGAATGGCAAGTCAAGAGGGTGGCTTGCTGCTGCTGTTGTTGCTGCTTTTGCTGCTGGTGCTGGTCTTGCTGCTGCTGCCGCCGCTATTAGCATTGTTGCTTCTGCTGTTGCTGCTGCTGCCTGCGCCGCTGTTGCTGTTGCTGCTGCTTCTGTGGGGCTGCTTCTGCTGCTTCTGGCGGTGGTAGTCCGCCAGCTGCTGCCGCAGCAGCTGGCCCCTTTGTTCTCTCCTTTTCTCCTTCAGCAGCAGCTCGCTGCAGTTTTGCTGCTCCCGCTGCAGCAGCACTTTCACCATTTCTATTTGCTCTTCAAGCCGGCGCTCGTGGAAGACCTGAATGGCCCGCTGGCGCTCCAGCTGAAGCAGCAGCAGCAGCAGCAGCAGCAGCAGCAGAGGTAGCAACAGCAACGGCAGCAGCAGCAACTGCAGCAGCAGCAACTGCAGCAGCAGCGCCAGAGATAGCAGCAGCAACAGCAGCAGCGACAACAACAGCAGTAGCTGCAGCAGTAGCTGCAGCAGAAGTAGCAGTGGCAGCAGCAACAATAGTAGCAGCAGCAGCAGCAGCAGCTGACACCCTGCACTGGAGCACTATTCATTTCGGCTAGCGGGCTAGCAGCCTGCTCCAGTCGGTCAGCTAGCTAGCGGCTAGCTAGCTGAGTATTTGGCTAGCTAGCCAGCCTAAAAGCTAGCTAGCGGCTGGCTAGCCAAGTATTTGGCTAGCTAGCCAGCCAAGCAGCTAGCTAGCCATCCTACTGGGCGGAGGACTCTGGCTCCCTACGGGCTGCGTGCAGAAGCCAGAACCCAAACGCTGCAGCAAACGCTGCAGCAGCAGCAGCAGAAGGAGCAACAGCAGCAGCAGCTGCTGCAGCAAAACACTGGACGCCGGCTGTTCACCTGCGCTGCTTGGGCGGCTTTGACTCGGTGCTGCTCCTCGAGTGTCTGCAGCAAAGAAAGCAGCAGCAGCAGCAACAGCAGCAGCAGCAGCAAGTGATCACTTGCAAGTTTGCTGCCACATCCTTTAGAGGCAGAGCCTCACAGGCGGCTGTTTCCGGTGCCACTGCTGCTGCTGGTGCTGCTGCTGCTGCTGCTGCTGTTGCTGCTGCTGCTGCTGCTGCTGCTGCTGGCAGCAGCAGCCAGGGTCTATCTTACTGCAACAGTGTTGCAGCCCGGCTGCGCGTGCTGCAGCAGCAGCAGCTGCTCCGGCAGCAGCGGCTGGATTTTGGGGGTGCTTTGAGCCAAAGGTGTAGTGAGGCAAATAGAGAAGGGGCCTTCCCCCCCTTTCCAGTTTTCTTTAATTGCTGCTTGCATGCGCTGCAGCAGAGTTGCTGCTGTTGCTGTTCCTTCCTCTGCTGCTGCTGCTGCTGCTGCTGCTGCTGCGGCTCCTGACGCGCGCAGCGCCCCTTCAGCGCCTTCTGCTGCTGCTGCGGCTGCTGGGTCTTCGCAGCTTGGCTGCGCTGCTGCAGCAGCAGCTGAGGTAGCTTCAGAGCTCCGCGACAAGCGTGCTGCTCCTTCCTCTTCTTGCTGCTGCAGCTCTTGCTGTTGCTGCTGCTGCTCTTGCTGCTGCTGCTGCCCTTGCTGCGGCTGTTGCTCTTGCTCCTGATGCGGCTCTTTGGGCATACCTTCACGGCCGTGCGTCGCCACCCCGCTCGCGCCCCCAGTCTTGCGCTGCTGCTGCTGCTGCTGCTGCTGCTGCTGCTGCTGCTGCTGCTCGCCAACCCACCTCTGCATGTGCTGCACAGTGGCCTCAGTTGTCCTGCAGGGCACACTGGGGCCCCCCAGAGGCCGCTGCAGCGGCTGCAGCAGCAGCTGCCTGCAGAGCAGCGAAGCATTGCCCCCGCGGAGTGGGGGGAGGCCCTTTGCTGCAGTTCGGGGGTTGCTGCTGCTGCTGCTGCTGGGTGCGCAGCAGGAAAGCAGGCCTTTGCTGCTGCTGCTGACAGTATTGCAGTTGTTGCTGCTGCTGCTGCTGGTCCGGTTGTCGCTGCTGTTGCCGTTGCTGTCGACAGTGCTCCGGTCGTTTTTCTTGCTGCTGTTGCCAGTGCTGCCGTTCTTGCTGCTGCTGCTGCTGCTGCTGCTGCTGCGCCGTGCACCAGCTGCAGCAGCTGCAGAAGCAGTTGCTTCTGGCGAGGCCAGCTGCGACGCCGCTTCTGTAGAATTTCCGTTGTCGACTGCGCCTGAGGTTGCTGCTGCTGTTGTTGCTGCTGTTGCTGTTGTTGCTGCTGTTGCTGCTGCCGGCTGCAGCTCGCGTACGCTCCACTGAACCTCTTGTGCTTCTGCTGCTGCTGCTGCTGTTGCTGCTGCTGAGGCTCTTCTCGAGGAAAACGGTTCGGAGTCTGAGGCTGCAGACAGCGGGAGCCGCAGCACCGGAGCAGCAGGTCGCCCTGTTTGCTGCAGCAGCACAAGCAGCAGCAGCAGCGGCAGCAGCAGCAGCAGCAGCAGCAGCAGCGACAGCAGCAGCAGGTAATCACGTACAGACACTAAGTGCAACAGAAGCTTGAGAAGCAAAGGAGTCTTCAGCAGCAGCAGGACTAGGGGCTTCCTCCAAGGAGTGTCGACGCCTTCCCCTGCCTCTGCGTTGCTGCTGCTGCTGCTGCCGCAGCAGCAGCTGCTGCTGCCTGTGCTGGTGGCTGTGTCTGTGGGGCGGCGGGTCTGGCGGGTGCAGCAGCAGCTGCCTCTTCCTGCGCTGCTGCTCCTTCTCCTCCCTGAGCCTCCGCAGCAGCAGCTGCTTGCGCTTTTGCTCCTGCTGCTGCTGCTGCAGCTGCCGCAGGGCGTCAGCTTTTGCTGCAGCAAGCATGCGGCGGTACCAGGGCCTGAAGTGTTCTGTCTTTCCCTCTTGCAGCATTTTAGAGAACGAGAGGCGCAGCAGCAGCAGCCGCAGCGCAGCAGCCTCCTCTTCGCTCATGCTGCTGCTGCTGCTGCTGCTGGGGCTGCTGCTGCTGCTGCTGCTGCTGCTAGTGCTGAGAAAGGAGGCCGCCGCTGGTGCCAAGTCAAGCCAAAGCCTCTCATTGCTTTTTAGAGGGAGGAGTGTCTGCTGCTGCTGCGGCTGTTCACCCGTGCCTTCCTGCAGCTGCTCCCGCTGCTCCAGGCCCTGCTGCTGCTGCTGCTGCTGCTGCTGGGCCTCCTCCTGTTGCTGCAGCAGCTGCAGCTGCTGCTCCGGCAGCGTGAGGGAGCAAAGACTGCAGCGGGTGTCCGGGCGAGGGCGAATTGCTGCAGCGCGCAGCAGCAAACCTCTCAAGAGGTCTTCTACAAAAGCAGTGGCTTCAGTTTCTTCGACTGCGCCCAACAGCTTGTCTGCCTACAGCAGCAGCAGCAGCAGCAGCAGCAGCAGCAGCAGCAACACCGAAACCAGCAGCAGCAGCACCAAACCAGCAGCAGCAGCAGCAACAGCAGCAGCAGTCGAGTAAGAATCAGGGACCTCGCAGCAAGAATAGCTGCCCCAGCTGCGGGGTTCTCCTGGGGAGAAGGATTCGCGGAGCTGCTTAAGCTTGTGGCTAGCTAGCTACACAGTTGGCTAGCTAGCTACTGGCTATCTAGCCAGCTAGCTAGCTAGCTAGTTTGCTAGCTAGTCGTGCTACAGGTGACTAACTAGCGAAGCAGCCAGCTAGACAGTCGCCACACAGCTAGCCAGCTAGTTAGCTAGCCAGTCGAGCTACGGCTAAGCAGCCAGCTAGCTAGCTGGCTAGCTAGCTAGCTGGCTAGCTAGCTAGCTGCAGCAGCCGCAGCTAGAAGGCTCGCCTTAAGGAATTCGCCCAAGGCGGAGGCCATTCGCTGGGCCCCAGGCCAAAGGGGGCTTGCTGAGGGGCCCCGGCAGGCTGCGCTTTCTTCTGGCGTGTCTGTCTCCTAAGCAGCAGCAGCAGCAGCAGCAGCAGCAGCAGCAGCAGCAACAGCAGCAGCAGCAGCAGAAACAGCAGCAGGGTTCATGGATCGCCAGCCGAGACCCTGCCAAGGTGGTTCTCTGCTTCTGTTTCGCGACCCTTAATGCCACTAATGTTGCCTACTGCTGCTGTTGCTGCTTAGTATGTCCTGCTGCTGCTGCTGCTGCTACAGCACGTGCTGCAGCAGCAGCAGCAGCAGCAGCAACAGCCCTTGGGAATGTGCTGGCTGCGGCGCTCACCATTGCCACTGCAGCGCAGCAGCAGCATCATCACTGCAGGCTCGCTTGGCTCGAGCTGGTTGGGCGGAGCAGTGTTGTTTGAAATAATTATTTTATTCTTTTCAATTTATTTTTTAATATTTTGTTTTCTTTCTCAATTTAATTTATTTCAAGTCCTAAGTCTAGCTGCTGAGGCCGAAGGCAAAGCCAGCGATGAAAGATGCAGCAGCTAAGATGGAACTTGCCCAGCGGCTTCCCAGAGCACTAAGTGAATTAAAAAGTCGGCACTACGTTGGCCTTGCTGCTGCTGCTGCTGCTGCTGCTGCTGCTGCTGCTGCTGCTGCTGCTGCTGCTAGCGAGCGCTGCGCCCGCCGCATAAAAAGCGCGGCTGAAATGAGCCAGGTGTACGTACACCGCAGCAGCAAATGTGCCTACCGTAGCCCTCAAAGCGATCCCACAACTGGCTTCGCTTTTGTTTGCTGTTGCTGCGGTGGCTGCTGCTCCCGCAGCTCCCGCTGCTGCTGCTGCTGCTGCTGGGCTGAGGTGACTCTGGGGCTGCTCGCTGGCTGGCTGCAGCCCCTTTTCACGCAATCATCTCACGAATTAGCCAGAAATGTGTTATTATTTTCTAAATTAAATGAAAATTCTATTTTTTTGCCGCCTATTTCATCCCTTTTGTTCATAAAGAGCTCAGTTAGCACTTGCTGCCACCCGGCGCGGGGCGTACGGTCGCCGGGACCGGTGAGGCTGCTGCTGCTGCTGCTGCTGCTGCTGCTGCTGCTGCTGCTGCTGCTCCTTCTAGTGTTGCCCTTGCTGTTCTTTTCTGCATTTTGCACGCATTTAGGCCCTCAACAATAGCTTTGCTGCTGTTTCTGCCGCTCTTGCTCCTGCTGTTGATGCTGCTGCACCGACTGCAGCGGGCGCCAGCTGCTGCTGCTGTTGCTGTTGCTGCTGCTGCCGCTGTTTCTGCTGCTGCCTACTTCTGCGTGGCTAGCTGGGCTTGTCGAGATGCGGCACTTGAGCAGCTGCAGGCTGGCCATACAGCCCAGGTTCACAGTGAAGTGTGGGGCTGCCTGCCGCCTCCCTGTAGAGCAGCAGCAGCAGCAGCAGCAGCAGCAACAGCAGCAACAGCAGCAGCTGCAAACAGCAGCAGCACCTGAGCTGATCTCGCTCGACTGCTGGTCGGGAGCAGGAACCACTCAGGGTAGCCTCTGTGCAACTCGCAACCCTAAACCCTAAACCCTAAACCCTAAACCCTAGAGTCGCGTAGATGAGGCGCCCGGGCAGCGGGCGCGAGGCGCTGTGGGCAGCAGCAGGTGCAGCAGCAGCTGCTGCTGCAGCAGCTAAAGTTGGACAAGGAAGTTTGCTGCTCGGGTCTTATAAATTGTGAGCAATAGCGACAAAGGAGAGTCTCCTGCGGGAGCAGCAGCAGGGCCTCCGCACTAAGGGGCCCCCGCCCTTCCTGTGTCTGGACTTAAAATTCGCACATATACCATGTCAAGTAGCTAGCCACAGCTAGCCACAGCTAGCCGCAGCTAGCCACAGCTAGCCACAGCTCGCTGCAGCGAGCTGCTGTGGGTCGCTGTGGCTGGCCAGCGGCAGCTAGTTGCAGCTGCTGCTGCAGCAGCAGCAGCAGCAGCAGCAGCAGCAGGCGCTGGCGTTGCTTTAGAGGGCGCCCAGGGCGGGCCAGGGCATCTGAGGTGTCTGTACCCCGCCGGCCTCCCCGAGGGCTTGAGGGGCCCCCTCCCGTTCCCCATCTTCTTCCCCGTCCTCCAGTGCCTCCCTGGGGGCCCCCCCAGGGGCCCCCCCGGGGCCCCCCCCGGGGGCCCCCCCGAGCGCGTCCTCGCCGCCCCCCAGGGCCCCTCCTCCC